AAAAAAAAAAAAAAAAAAAAAAAATTGTTGAAGTGCTAGAGAAAAAAGAAGTCATGGAAAGGTGGGAAAACAAGCCAGGCATGGTAGCTCATGCCTGTAATCCTAGCACTTTGGGAGACTGAGGCAAGAGGATTACCTGAGCCCAGGAGTTCGAGACTAGCCTGGGCAACACGGTGAGACCTCGTCTCTACAATAAATAAAAAAATTAGCCAGGCATGGTGGTACACGCCTGTAGTTTCAGCTGCTTGGAAGTCTGAGGCAGAAGGATTGCCTGAGCCCAGCAAGTCGAGGCTGCAGTAGCCATGATCATGCTACCACACTCTAGTCTAGGTGATAGAGTGAGACTCTGACTCAAAAAAAAGGGGTGGGAAAACAAAAATGTAAAGCTTTTGAATGGCAAAAGGCACCGCACACGCAAAGGGAAGAGCAAGGCCAGGCCAGGAGGCCAAGATGCCGAGTGTGGAAGGGAGGAGTGCCAGTGGGAGTGGGGACTGGGTGGGCTCTGCGGGCAGCCTGGAGGAAGAGGCCTCCCATCCCGCAAATGGTTAGATGTGAGAGGTGGACCTAGGGGATTTGATGGACAGGGAGGCAGTGCAGTGAGGCTGGCTTCTGCAGTGTGGCACTTGAGGGTCAAGAGGAGATGACCAGGAGGCTGTGAGAAGCAGGAGACAGCCCGGGCGCCCGCCAAGTTGCTGGGGACACGTGCACAATCTCAAGTGTGGACACGGGCCCAGCCTGCACTGGGCACTGAGGACTCGGGAGGGGTGAGGTCCCTGCCCTCACGAGCTCCCAGCTCTTCCTCTTTGGGGTGGTCAGAGCCACGGCAGGACAAGGATTGTCCAGGGAGAACAAGAAGACTAAGCGCAAGACTCGGGAATGCCAGCCTTTAGCGCTGAACAGAAGGAGCCAGCGAAGGAGACAGAGATTGTGTGGGCAAGGAGGTGGCAGGAAAGCCAAGAAGGAAACAGGGAAAGGAGAGGCCACAGCGCCCGGTGTTGCCATAAGGCTGGACTCCGACTCCCCCAGTTCCAGCCCCTGCAGACCCCCTCCGCTGCACCTTCCTCTTGTGTCCTCGCCACCAGCCTGAGCAGGAGCACTGCCTCCCTGCTGCTGCCTCTTTCCTCCCCTCCTCCCCCATCAGCCTTTGTGTCCCTCCTCAGCCATGCACCGGACCTTCCAGACAGACCTCCACCTGCTGCGCCTGCGGGCTGCCCGCGCCTACGTGCAGGCCCTCGAGTCCAGCCTGAGCCCCATGTCTGCGACAGCTCGGGAACCACTCAAGCTGCACGCCGTGGTGAGCACCTGGATCGGGGGAGTCAGGCCAAAGGGGCAGGGGCCAGGGTGGGCAGGGACCCCTCTGCCACACAGCGGGGCCCCCAGAGCCGATTCCAAGCCAGCTCACCTCCCCACAGACCCAGAGGCGAGTGCCATGTCCTCCTTGGGAGACCTGCTCTCACCTTGTCGCCCTCCTGCGCTGCCTCTTCCCCTCAGCTGGACATGAAGTGGGACACTCTCTAGCTCCCCTGCTCCAGGCTGTGCCTCAGACAAGCCCCAGACTTGAGACCTAAGAGAACAGAGTAGTCACCTCAGGACATTTCTTCTTAGGAACCTAAAGGGATCATTTTTAGCTGTGGCACAGGGAAGAAAACTGTTCACTTCAGTAACTGCAGGCCCAAGGTGTTAGGACTGCCTGGTGCAGGGAAGGGGCCATCCTGACCCAATCCACAGGCATGCTGGGACTAGCACAGGCACGAGGGAGGAACAGGACACTCAGACATGCCTGACCTCAAGGCCAGCAGGGCTCCAGCTAGCTCTGATCAGGTCCCCAATGTGTGTCACAAGCAAGCCTCCAATTCCTTTTTCCTAAAGAGAGTGGATAGATACAGAGGAGATAGCAGCTGCAAGGCCACCTGGGGTAAGAGGGAGAAAAATGAAGCCACTGAGGTCATCACAGAGAGTGGGAGGAGAAGCCAGGCTCTGGGAGGACAGGGGCAGGAGGACACAGGTGGGAGTCTGGGCCTGCAGCCCCAGGCCAGCTGTGCTTCCAACTTGCCGAGTGGCTTTCATCCGGCCCTCCCCCTCTCCGGCTTCTGCTGATGCCTCTGCACCTTCTGGGCTTCTCTGTGTTTTGAGGGCCAAGTGCAGTAGCAGGGGAACTGAGGACACTGGTGGAAGGCAGGCTAGGCGCATCATTCTTAGTGCCCAAGGCTACCGGGTCCTCAGCGCTTTCTCCACCCACCCCTCCACAGGTTCAGGGCCTGGGCCCCACCTTTAAGCTCACACTCCACCTGCAGAACACCTCGACAGCCCGACCCGTCCTGGGGCTGCTGGTCTGCTTCCTGTACAACGAGGCGCTCTATGCCCTGCCCCGGACTTTCTTCAAGGTACTGGACCCTCCACACTTAGAAATGGAGTGAAAAGCCTGGAGCAGGGCCTGATTAGATGCCCACAGAGCCCCCACCAGGTCAAGGTGAGGGAGTGCACAGATGGCTGGCAGGTGGCCGATGCGTTGACTTTCCCACCACAGATCAGGCCAGGGACCTCTGGAAGGAGCATCCAAGACCTTTCAGGGAGCTACACAGAGGGTTCTGGGAAAACACTCAGATTCTGGGTCCCACCTATACCTCTCAGAAGCCTTTTGGAGGCTAGGGGGGGTCCCCAAGCGCCACTGCTTCCCAGCTAATCTCTGCCCAAAGAACATTGCTCACAGAGTGAAGGGCCTACTTTGCTCCAGGGCCTAGGTTTGATCCCAGGTTGGAGGACTAGAAACTGAGACTCTGAGCCAGGCATGGTGGCTCACTCCTGTAATTCCAGCACTTTGGGAGGCTGAGACAAGAGGATTGTCTGAGTCCAAGGGTTCGAGACCAGCCTGGGCAACTTGGCGAGACCTCATCTCTACAATAAATTTAAAAATTAGCTGGGTGTGGTGGCATGCGTCTGGGGTTCCAGCTACTTGGAAGACTGAGGCAGAAGGATTGCCGGAGTCCAGCAGGTCGAGGCTGTGGTGGCTGTGAGCATGCCACTGCACTTCAGCCTGGGTGACAGTGAGACTTTGACTCAAAAAAAAAAAAAGAAACTAGCCGGGCTCGGTGGCTCAGCCTGTAATCCCGCGCCTTTGGGAGGCTGAGGTGAGCGGATTGCCTGAGCCCGCGGGTTCAAGACCCGCCTGGGCAGCGAGACCTCATCTCTACAATAAATCAAAAAACCAGCCGGGCATGGTAGCTCATGTCTGTAATTCCGGCTACTCGGAAGGCTGAGGCGGAAGGATCGCCGGAGCCCAGCAGGTCGAGGCTGCGGTGGCCGGGAACGGCCACTGCCCTCCAGTCTGGGCGACAGAGAGACTCCAACTCAAAAAAGAAAAGAAAAGAAAAAAAAAAAAAAAGAAACTGAGACTCTGGAATATGCCCTGAACCTGGACTTGGTAGGAGTCCAGATGTCTGGGTTTACAGGCCATGTGGCCCGGGGGCATTCACTGCCCCCACGGCACACATGTCCTCCTTGACCCAACAGTCATCCTGCCCACCCTACAGGGGTGCTGAGATTCAGCTGAACTGCAGGCCTGAGTGTACTTTGGAATATGCCAAATGCTGGTTTTTTTCCCTCTTCATCTTACCTCTTCTAGGTCCCCTTGCTGGTGCCAGGGCTCAACTACCCCCTGGAGACCTTTGTGGAGAGTCTCAGTAACAAGGGTATCTCAGACATGATCAAGGTAGGTCACCTGTTAGTACCACTTGGAGGGCAAGTAGGACCCTAGGGAGGACAGTAAGGGTGAGCGTGGACAAGGCCCTCAGGGGGCTTCTGGGTAGGGGTGGGGGGTGTGTGCACAGTAGAGCCCTGATGGCCTGTCAGTAGGGCCAGTGCAGACCAGGCAGGGGGTAAAGGGTGCATGCCTCCTACTGCCACAGACGCTTCTCCATAGGTGCTGGTGCTTCGAGAAGGCCAGAGCGCCCCCCTGCTGAGTGCCCACATCAACATGCCTGTGAGTGAGGGGCTGGCGGCAGCCTGAGCCCCAGGCTGCTGTGAAAGCCGCTGCAGAATCAGAGCCAGGAAGACCCCGCCACTCCCACTGAACTGGGCAGGCTCAGTGGCCCCGGGCCCACTTCTCCACGCCGCAGTGTGCTGGGCACCTGCTTTCTCACCACCCCCACTGCTGAACCTGTAGCAGCAGGCCAGTGAGTACCTGGTAGGCTCGGCTTCTCCTCTCTCAGGACCAACCCGACATTGCCCCCTGAGCTCCTGCCACCCCTCTGGCCTCCCAGCCTTTTCCAGAAACCACACTCAGGTTCGAAGAAAGAGCTCTGAAGTGGTAAAAAGTGGGCCCTTCTCCTTTGCCATTTTCCTGAGCCACATCACATCTCCTGCTGCAGGTCAAGGCCAGAATTGCGCTAGGGCCCAGCTTGGGAGATAAGAGCCCTTCTGGTTTGACACCGAGCCCCATCTCACCCTGGAGTTCAGAGGCTTGGCTGCTGCCAGCTCAGCCTGCAGGCAAGACACATGCTCTGATCTCCCCTCGTCAGCTGGGCAGGGGGTGCCTCTTTCCATTCATCAGGCCCAGGCGTGCTGCCTCCCCCAGGGCCTCCTTTGAAGTCTTGGACTCAGCCAGCCTCAGGCCTGTGATACTCCACAAAGGTCCAAGGAGGAGATGGTCCAGGAGGGCCGAGGGGATCCCTGCAGGGAGGTGGTGGCCCCAGGCCCCACTAGGGCTCCTAAGACCGCATAGCAGCTGCTCCTGACTGGGATGTTTGTGCCCAAAAGGAGCACCTGGGAGAGGAAGGCTAAGCTGACAGGTCAGAGGTGTGGCCAGTGGCACCCAGGAGAGGCATTTCTGTATCGCTGGGGAGGCGGTACAGGAGGCAGAAGCCTAGAACTGCCAATCAAAGTCCTCCCTCTTCTATGCCCTGGAGCCCAAATCAGTCATGTGGTGGAAAGTTCACCAGGCAGTGGCCACATTGTGAGAATTAGATGGAAAGGCAAGGACCAGAGGCACTGTGTTGAGACCACGAGGGCCAAGCAAGACTCACAGCCCTAACCCTTGGTGTCTCCTGAGTCTCTGGCTAGTCTGCCTGGCCCACCTCACAGGCCACCCTGAGCCACCTGTAGGCCAGGAGCCCTGCTCCCTGAGAACCTTCCCCTGTCTGACCAGGTGCGGCCTAGAGTGTGACATACAACCAAGGCTTTGGGGCAGTAGCCGTACCCTGGCTTCAGTCCCCCTACATGCAAAATAAGGCCGCTTGAGCAGATTGTTTCTAAACCCCTTTCAGCTCTAACCCTATGAGTTTGGCAGCCCTCTGGAGACAACAAGCAGTCAACTCGAGAAAGGTGATAATTGGCAGGCCCCAAGCTGGCTGCCACTGCCAGACAACAGCGTCTGTGTCCAAAACACAGGGACTGGGGTGACACAGCCCACCCCATACCTCCTGGAGATGCATCTGGGGCCAGGTTAAGAGAAGCAACAGTCCATACCAAAGAAAGAGCCTGTCCACCTTCTCCCCCTACCCCTGCCCCCACACCCCAACTGCTCAGCCACTCCCAGACACAGAACAACTGGGTCAGAATGGCAAGGATTTTAGATCAAGCCAGCCGAGGGATAGTTGAAACAAGTAGGAGTTATAACCTGGAAATGGAAAGACGTGGGGCAGCGGGAGTGTCGCTGTCAGGCAGAGAGATTTCAACTTAACTTGAAGAACCTGTCAGAGATGGAAGGGCCTGCCCTAGAAGGAGGTGAGCCCCTTGACTCTAAACAAAACAAAACAAAAACTGAAGAATATCAAGGGAAAAAAAATCTTAAAAGCAGCTGGAGACAAAAAGTATATCTTCAAAGGAACAACAATAACAACAAAAGGTAGCTTACACCTGACTTAACAGCAACAATGGAGACTAAAAGACAGTAGAATAATATTTTCAATATATTGAAATAAAATATTAACTTAGAATTTTATACCCAGCAAACAACTTTAGAAAGCATTTTTTTTAAAAGGTAGGGACAAATAGCACAAAATAAAATGGTAGAACTATATCAAGTATAAAGGTAATTACCATAATAAAAATGACTAGATGGGCTAGATGTTTGGGTCAGAAAACAATAGTATCATTTTCTTTTCTTTTCTTTTTTAAGTTGGGTCTCACTCTGTCACCCAGGCTGGAGTACAGTGGCACAATCACAATCTCGACCTCCAGGACTCAGTGGTCCTTCTGCCTCAGCCTCCTGCAACTGGGACTACAGGTGCACGCCACCACACCCGGCTAATTTTCTCTTATTTTTTATACATACAGGGTCTTGCTATGTTGCTGAGGCTGGTCTCGAACTTCTGGGCTCAACCAGTCCTCCTGCCTTGACCTCCCAAAGTGCTGGGATCACAGGCATGAGCCACTGCACCTGGCCAGAAAAGCATATTATCTAGACAATTAAGAATCCATCTGTAGGCTACTCCTAAGAACTAGAGAAAGTGGAAGTAAAAGGATTAAAAACTCAACATACCTGGAATACAAGGGAACTTTCTTAGCCCAATAAAGGGCATCTGTTTTTTTAAAAACCCAAAACACTGAATGGTGGAATATTGAACTTACTCCATCCTAGGTGAGAAATGAGGACACCCAATACCTGTATTCTACATTACATAGCGATCTCACCCATACAGAAGGGCAAGGAAAATAGATGCAAAAATTAGAACAAAACTTCATAGATAGTATGATAATAAATACAGAAAATTCAATAGATTCTACAAGTTAGAATAAGAACAAGAGTTTTAGGTTTGCTCGACACAATCTATTTTCATAGACCTTGTGTAATAATGTGAAATATTTAATACTTAAGAACCAATCTAATAAAAAGCACAATCTTTTTTTTTTTTTCGAGTTGGAGTCTCACTTTGTCACCCAGACTGGAGTGCAGTGGCCGCTGCCGGCCACCGCAGCCTTGACCTGCTGGGCTCCAGTGATCCTTCCGCCTCAGCCTTCCAAGTAGCTGGAACTACAGGCGTGCGCTACCATGCC